TGCCCTGTGAGCCTTATTTCGTATGGGAAAAATTGATTCCATCAATGTTGAGGTTTTCAGGAAGCGGAACCACGAGGTTAAGCAAATTACTGTACTTGAAAAATAAAATTGGGCGTCAGCTCTTGATGCAGCAAAATGGTTTTACTTATTTTTCATTAAAATCCTTCATTCTGTTATCATGTGATTTTCAATGAATATCGTTGCTAAAAGCGACAATCTGTCATTCACCATGGTACTGCAAAAGTTTTAATTCTCTTCAAAGTTGAAAAGCACCTTTCTGCTTCTGCAAATGTTGACTGTAGATGATTGTTGTTCATCATCTTTAATAAGTCAATGAGATTTTCTGATTAACACAAATCTTCTCTTTGCATACAGTACAGTAAGTTCAGTTCTAAATTTGTCTTTTCCATAGAGGATAGGCTGCCTTTATTGACTCTACTTAGGCAGCTGCCTCTCGTGAAGTTTGAGCAATGAGCGTGTGTGGACAATCACCAATTACAGTCTGGAGCTCTTTAAGTATCACAACTGATCAGGCTTCTGCTGTAATTGTTGATAAGGTTAAAAATCCCCAGAATCTCTCAACAGGCTTCCTTGTAGCTCATACCTTAGAACAATTACCATCTGTGTGTAATGGTAAATATCGTTGTCTCCATCACACAATGCCAAATATTCTGCATTCTTTACCTTCTTCTTGATCTTATTTTTGCAGATTTCAACATAGATTCTTAAAGTTCATTCTGTATTGATTTGGATGTTCCTTTAAAACTGTAGTGGTTTTTAAATGAGCATCTAAGCTAGAAATCCTGTTCATAGGCAAAATCAACTAATCCAAGAAATACCAGGATTCTCGAAGCTTCAGTGGTTTCACCATGTTCTCTAAGAGGGAGTTCAAATTTTCCACAAAACTTTTACATAGTTTATGATTTTGGATAACACATCTCTGTTTTTTCCTAACCTGTTCGTTGTGTTTTGCAACTAAGCAACTGAGAGCTTGTATGCTGTGTCAATTTGAGCTGCAATGTTCACTTTACCCAGCAATGATAAATCAATCATGATATTCATGTGTTTGGCTGACTGCTCATGTTTCATTATTTTCTGTGGCAAATGCCTCCGTCAGTCACACCACTTTTCGTCCATGACGAGTTCCCACAAACAATAAGCATGGAAAGCAGAATAAAGTATTTGCTTCATCATAACCACAGAACCAGAGTGTACAGTGACCCTGTTTACCGAACACCTCGGTTAACGTAATTTCGATTAACGAACTGCCTTCCATAAGGATCTTCAATTCGGTTAACGAAAAAAATTAAGCAACGAACTTCTTACGAACCGACCTCAACATGTTTTAGCTTACACTGACCGGGCAACCAGCTTTAGTATCAGTCCGCCAATACATTAATCGGTTCTGGGGCTTAAATTCTTACTATTTTTGTAAATATCAAGAAGTTTATACTATTCAATAATTTTAAAAGTTTAATATTCAATTTTTTAGTCATTTAACAATTATTGAACGAAATTAATTAAAGTGACTAGTTTAATCTGGCGGCATCCAGCCTCTTAACACAGCAAACAGGCGTCCAGTCTCTCTCTGTTTTCACTGGAGGTAACATCTTGCTTGAGACTCTCTTCAACTAAATGCTTTTTCTGTGTTTCCAAGCAAATTATTGGTCATTTTGAATATATTTTATATATTAATATATAATGCAGTGCAGCATTGATTTAAAAATAATCTTAAATTAAACCAGAGAGCTAAAATTTTATGGGTGAAATGGCACCATGGGGTGACTTCTCTTCACCCCAATGCCTTCTCTTCTTTTCTCCTCCACCCCATTCTAAATCCATCATCATCATCTCATCATCCAGGAGCCTTCTACATACACACCTCCAAAGTAAGTGAACTTTCTACCATTTTTGTTGAATTTAGGAAATTTTGGTGAGCTGGAACCAATTACCCAAAACCCATTGAAACAATGGTTTTGGTTATGACTTATTTCGGTTATCGAGCGACCTTCTGGAGCGGATTGAGTTCGTTAACCGAGGGCCACTGTATATTCTTTGCTCTTGCTTGCACTATTCTGTTGAATGGATAAAACAGGTGTAGGTCTTCCTCTTGCTTTCATTTCAGTCTTTTCATTTAATGTCAGCTGGGAAAAGTTGATGCTGCAAATACTTCACTCGATTTTTCCGTCGTCGAAGGGTAATTAAAAAGCCGCGATTTAACGCGCAAATCGCTTGCAATGTAAACAGGAGACTGAGTTGCATCGACTGCAGCTCATTGTTTCCAGGCGTGGCGCCAATTAATTCACTTAGTAACGTACAGTACTGAAAATAACATACACAGTGGTCCTCGGTTATGAACTCATTAGTTCCAGAAGGTGGATTAGTTAACCAAAAATGGTTTACCGAAACCATAGTTTCAATGGGATATTGGTGGTGGTTCAGCTCACTGAAAAGTATATACAAAATAAAGCAGAATATAATTTACATTGCTGGAATTTCTTATAAGATAGTGATTAATTTGAATATAAACAAGCTAAAATTTTGCATTAGACATACAAATTTTAGATCTAATTTAAAAATTTTATTAGGGAGAGCAAAAATTTTATCTTTTGTGCAAAATATGAAGTTTATATTCAAAATATTCCTGTCTTGCAAGGATTTCAGCAATGCAATATATTATCTAACAGTCTGAGGTATTATTTATTTTAAACCTGTAAGCTTGGTCTTTTTACTAAGCGTTTCTCAGGAAGGTGGGGGTGGGGAGGGGTGACAGTGACATGTTTGACAGTTGGCTCCTGTGGTAGTATTTATTGTTAGTTATTTTTTATTTTAGATTGAGTTTTGTTTTTGGCTTATAAAATTTAATAGAAGTGACTGGGGTGAATTTAATTTGCAATGCTGGAATTCTTATAAGATAGTGATTAGTTTGAATGTAAACATAGAAGAGATCCTTTGAATTGGTTGCAATTCCTCCTCAGCTGATGTTTAAAACAAAATGTGATTTTCATAAGGATTTACGTTAGTCAAATTTGTTTTAGATTAACTGAATTGAAGATTCTTATGGAAAATTCGTTAACGAAATTTGTTAACCCGTTAGGTGTAAGAGACCACTGTATAATGAATTTTATTATGATATATTTGTTAGTAGTGTATTATTCTGCTGTGTGTCTGAGAAGAATCATATGCCTGATAGTGAGAGTGTCTGGGGGACTGCAGCTCCTAGGCACGAAACGCCACTGGGAAATTTGTACAGTGGTCCCTCGATTAACGAACAAATTGGTTCCTGAGAGTCTTTTGTTAACCGAAAATTTCGTTAACTGAATCTATTATTTCAATGGGATATTGGTGGTGGTTCCAACTCACAGATAAAGTATGTAGTGGATTCCTCCTACAAGCGCCGTTTGTCGCTGACAAGCCGCCCCCACCGAATCCAGCTGCACCTCGTGTCTGGGTCAGCAACCAGCGCTGCCGCCATCAGAGGTCAACTATTAAGCCACGCCTACCTCCGTATATAAGACCTGACCTCGTGGTGACCTCCTCTTTCTACCTCACCAACCAGCAACACCTCCTCCGCCCCTGCCTGGATGGCCTTGCTCCCCTTGGCGATATGGCGACCCTAGCTGGTCCTCCTCTGAGCACCCTCTCGCCAGCTCTCTCCTCAGCTTGTAACCATGCTGCCTCCCAGCACCAAGCTGCATTGTACATCAATACAACATGTATACAGAGAGCACATTGGGAGTTTCTTCTCCATCCATCCTGAGTGTGAACCAAATAACCCATACCCACAAGTACATACAAGTAAAGCCAAAAATGCATAGGTCAAACACTCCTAAATCCCCAAAATCATGTAAATCACTATATATATATATTTGCATGCATATACACTAGAACTCTTAAATCACTACTGTAATGTGACACAGGTGATTAATCTTTATCTCTTGTGCAAAATATATGAGCGTTTATATTCAAATTATTCACTGTCTTGCAAGGATTCCAGCAATGCAAATTACATTCTCCTAACTTTAGTCTGTGATATTATATAAGATAAAAACTGTAAGCCTACACCAAACCCTGGCTGAGAGGAGGAGGAGGAGGTGACAGTGACATGTTGATAGTTGGAGCCAGGTCTAGTGAAGTATTTATTTGTTTATTTATGTCCTTTAAATTGAGTTTTGTTTTTTGCTTACAAAATGTCATAAAGTGACTGAAATATAATTTACATTGCTGAAATTCTTATAAGATAGTGATTAATTTGAATGTAAACATGCTATAGTTTTTACTAGACAAAATTTTAGTAATCATTTTGAGTACAGCTTTGCCTGAGGACAGTGTGTGCATGTAAATGAGTAAAATAAATGAATAAGTTACATATATCGAGCCAAAAATATTAGTTGAAAAACTTTATGTGGACAGAGCTTGGATGGCTAAATTTTAGAATGACCAATAATTTTAATATAAAAATGAAAAAAATATTCAAGAGCACAATTTTCTTGATATTTACTCCACTGAAACGAATGTAAACATAGAACCAATTACTGTATTGGTGGAATAGATGATCAGCTGATCGCACAACAAAAGCGTGTTTCTCCTAAGGCTGTCATTAATCAAAGTTTTGTTAGATTAATGGAACTAAAACCCTAAGGCAGATAATCCATTGACCGAAATTTTGTGAATTGAACCTTTAGTTAACTGAGGGACTACTGTATAAGAAGTTTAGGCATATACAATTGCTGTTCTGAGGAGATAAAGTAGTATACTGTGCGTGCAATTCAAAATGGAAATGAAAAGGAACTGATGTCAAACATGCAATATAGGAATTTTTTTACTAACCACTTTCTTAAGTTGATCCTCTAAATTATTGTAACTCATTAACTGCTTCTGTAGGTTATCTATGGTAATTTGGTCATTAAACACTCTGTCATTTAGAGATTGATTTTCAGCCAAGGTGTTTTCTAGAGTGCCGCGAAGGCTCTTGGTCTCTTGCTGCAGAAACAAGTTGTCCTCTCCATCACTACAATACCAGCCCTCACTCTCTCAACTGTTAAGGTGAAAAGTCAAAGTTTAATAAATATTATAAATTCTTGCATTATTGAAGTCATTAACACTCACAAATTACAATTTCACCATACAAATTTTTACAACAAAAAATGCAGTGTTAGGTATTTGGCCCCCAGGGTGAGACAACTGATCGTCAAAGGCTCTGGACAGTATTGGAGACAGTGTTGGATAATTAATTAGTCTTGTCTTTGTTGTGTTTATATTTCCTTCTTATATCATCAATTGTATTTCCATATTTTCTGTGACAGGCCTATCATAGTGGTCTATAGAAGTGAAAGTGTAAAAGAAATAAAATGCAGAAAAAAATAGAGAGATATTTTTGAATATATTCTGGCAACCTGGGAGGTGGAGAGAGTCTCTATCCCCCTCACAAACACACACACTACTAATACTACTTTGTGTCACTCCAGAATCAAGTATGATGATCATCCAACTATGATACAATGATATGAGTTATTGGGATGTCACCAAGGATGTCAGCTTCATTGGTGAGCCATGAGGTGACTAGAGGTATCTGGGATCGGCAGGGTTGTCCACAGATGATGCGTGTGGAGGGCTATATCCATTCTTGGGAGGAGCGGGGCAGCATCTTTCTGGTTGTGGCTTCACTGCCTCGGTATGCAGTGGGTCTATCTCGAAAGTATTGACACCTTTTCATGTGGTGCTCCTCCAAGCATTACAGTGTGGGGCGATGTCTTCCAGGTGAGAGGTCGATTTGGCACTTTTCAGGTTTGTCTTAAGACTATCCTTATACCTTTTCAGTTGCCCACCAGCATTACTTTAACTATTCGTTAGGTGACTGTAAAGTAGCTGCTTTGGCAGTCTACTGTTGTCCATGCTACAGTTGGTGTCAGCAAAAATACTGGCATTTGTTCTCTTGACTTCAAGAGAGAACTTCGAGGACGGAACATAGACTCGTTGGTGAAAGTTTTTAAGGACCTTGAGGTGCCTCCTGTATATGACCCATGTCTTGCTGCTATATAGTAGGGTGGGGAGGATTACTGCTCGATATAAGTGCAACTGTAGATAATTTTAGCTCCTACAGCTGAAGACATGTGTAGAGTCTGCCAAAGGCTTGAGATGTACATCTGACCCGATGTTGAATCTCTTCATCGATGTCATGATGGTGAACAGGTGGAGCTGAGATACGAAAGTGGGTAACATTAGAGAGGGTAGTACCGTTAAGCTGGATGGATGGTAGAGGTGTGTCTGAACCAGGGCAGGCTGAAAAGAATCTGAGTCTTAAATACATTCACCTCAAGGCGAATTGTGCATACGCATCGTAGGTGTTCAGGATCTCCTGTACCGTTAGGTTTCATTCAGCATGTCCGACAAGGATGAGGTCACCTGCATACTGAAGTTCAGTAATGGAAGCTGCCAACACCTTTGTTCCTGCTAGGTCATCTTATGTTGAAAAAGACCTTTCATCCAGCACTTGATGTCCACCCTGCCAGCCAAATTGGCACTGGCGAGTAAGGAAGGCAGCCAAAAAATTAGAGAGAGTTGGTGCAAGTACACATCCTTGTTTTACCCCATTTGGATGGGGAAGAACTCAGACTGGGTGTCAATGTGTAGGATACTGTGTTTCATGCCATCGCGGAGTTGCCTCTGGCAATGAATTTTGGTGGGCAGCCAAACAGCTGAGTGTCAGCCGAGGGCTTCCTGTTGACTGGTGAAGGCCTTGGTTAGGTCGATGAAGGCCATGTACAGGTCCGACGCTGTTCTCTGCACTTTTCCTGTATCTGGCGGGCAGCAAAGATCATGTCAGTGGTGCCAGCGTGATGGTCTAAAGCCACCTGAGATTCTGGGAGAAGTTTTAGCCTCAGGAACAAGTCTGTTAGGAGGACTCGGGAAATAATCTTCCCAGCTACGAACAGCAGCGAGATCCCGTGATAGTTATCACAGTCTGACCGGTCCCCTTGTTCTTATAAAAATATTATTGTGATGGAGCGTCTTTAAAACTTGGGAGATTTCCTCATTTTCCCATATATTCTCCAGGAAGTGGAGATGGTCCTCCTGCTTTATACACCTCGGCTGGGATTCCATCAGGAACTGAGGCTTTGTTATTTTCATCTGTTTGATGGCAGTAACTGCCTCACCCAGGGATGGAGGATAGCTGAGGTGGGTCAGCTCTGGATGCTGAGGGGCCTGCTGGGTAGTCAGGACATCCACATCAGTGTTTCGGTTGAGCAGTTAGCAGTTGTGGTCTTTCCAGTGCTGAAGGAGGCATTCTTCGTCTTTAATTAGGAGTTCCGTCAGATGAACAGAGGGGGCTGTGCCACAGTGATTGGCCCATAAAATGTTTTTAGTGGAATTGAAAAATGTGGCTGATCTGCAAGTTTTGTGTTTCACATGCTTTATTTTTAAACCAGTCGTTCTTTAGATGCGGAAGTTTGTGCTGGGCTGCTGCTTTCTTCTTGCAGAAGCCATCGCTTTGGTCAGGACTGAGGGTTGCCAGTCAGTTAAAGCAGCACATTTATTATTGACGGGCATATTGATTTCCAGGTCATTTTCATCAAACCAGTCTGGTGTATTCTTTCGGTGGCCTAGGGTCTCTGCAGGTTTTGTCATGACAATGTCGAGAATATTCCATTTGGCACTGGGATTTAGGTTGTTTGTAGTCAGGTTGTTTATCAGCCCGTGTTTGAGTTCTTCTCTGAAAGCAGATGCTTTGGGGCGGCGTGAAGTGAGAGCTTGGCTCTGATAGGCGATGATCAGTGCTGCAGTTGTCTGGCGATGCATGGCTAGGTGATGAGGACATCTCAGCGATCTCTTTCTCTGTGGCAATGATGTAGTCCGGGGGTGTCAAACTCATTTGCCAAAGGCGGCCAGATTTAATATGAGTACCAGATATGCGGGCCAAGTAACATAATTATAGGCATATCGTCACCTCTTAGGTGAGTAGTAAGACAAAATAAGAAAGGTAGATTTCTGCGTCGTGCGAAACCCTTAAAACAAACAAACAAGTGTTTACTTACCTTGATCAATCTTATTGTTTGCTACTGCTGCTTCTGAAAATTGGCACCTCTTGGTATGGACCAGTGCATCAAATTTGGCACTAACGACTGAGCTGTAGCAACCTTCAGTATTGAATTAAGGTGCATCAGTAAGTTGAGACGAAGCTGAGACTTGTTCAAGTTCATCACAGAAAAGAGTTGTTCACAGACATATGTACTTCTGAACATTGACATAATCTTTGAGGCAAAACATTTAATCCTGGGATAATTTGGTCCAAAATATTGATAAAATGTGCCAACATCAACACTCAACTTGTTCCTCAATACAGAATCACACTGGAGCTCATTGGTGATGTTGATTGAGTATATTGTTCTAGGAAACAGCAGACTATTTTATTCAGCTGAGGGATACACTCACTATTTAGTTTTAGCTCCTCAAGGTAAGACTGGGCAGCAAATGGGCAGGCGCATGCAGGAGTGTGTCGGGCTGCATGCTTGACACCTGATTGTAGTCAATAAGATGCCAGTGTTTGGATCGTGGGTGTTGCCACGAACCCTTGAACTTGTCGGCCTGCTTAAACAAGGTATTGGGGATAGTGAGGTTGTGTGCAGCACACTTGCTGAGGAGGAGCAGGCTGCTGGGATTACACTTGCCTAGTCTATTTCTCCTTTAATTCCCTGTCAAATGTTAGCATCTCTGCCAACCCTGGCATTGAGGTCACCTTGGAGCACATTCTTATCTTCTCTGGGAGTAGAGGTTAGCACTCAATCAAGGTTGGCATAAAGGGCTCCTCTGATATCATTCTCTGCATCAAGTGTTGGGCGTAGCACCAATGAAGAAGGCATGACGTGAGTGATTCAGTGATTTGGGGTGTCATGAAGTGCTTGTTGATCCCAACAGGCATCAGTTAGCCCCTGTGTAGGATCGTTGACGGATGGCAAGCCAACTCCATAAATGTGGTTTCTCTCCGCATCAGGCTTACCTTCCAGAAGAAGGTATAGCTGAACCCCTGTTCTGTGAGTCGACCCTCGTCCTGGGGCAGGATCACTAATGGCTGCTATGTCGATATTATACCTAGCCAGTTCTTTTTAACACAAGACGCTCATTTGCGTCAGTAGTATCCAGAAGGGTCCTGACATTCCAGTGCAGGACAATAAGAGGTTGTATAGTTTGTTTTGTTTTCATCTGTGATTATGATTGTGTTTTCGACCGCATGAGGATGATCTTACTGGGTGCGGTTGCTCAGTCAGGTTGGTTCTTTAGGCAGGCTATGCTTAGGGCATCTTTTAGCCTCCCCATGGGGGTGAGCAGAGTGGTTTCTAGAAGGGCTGCTCCTTGCACAGAAAGACCAGATTGCACTGCTGCCTAGATCCCAGTGCATAAACGACCATCTTATATGTGCAGCCCATGTGCAGAGTTGTGACTGAGAGACTCCCGGCAGTCATCTCTGCCTGTTCCCGTTGCCACTGTCTGTCGCCATAGGACTTTTGGGGTATAGGGGTTTGATGATGTTGTTGAGAGGTATGGACTGGATGATGGCTGCACGTGAGTTGATTTATGTGGTGAGGCAGGAGAGTAGGCTGCAACCACACATCTTGGCTCTCCCTTTCCTGGTCCAGTAGTGCAAGTGTTGCAGCGACTGGAGAGAGGATTTTAATGGACTGCCAAAACCCAGTTTGTTGGGATTATCCTAGTAGCCTGTCCATCAGGCATTGCCTTGTCTGCGTTATAGTCACTGAGTTCCGTGTTGATCACCTCTTCGCCTATACGCTGTTGGAGCTCTGTAAGCATGTCTGCCTGATGCAGAAGATTACATTTTACTTGTGTACAAAGAAATGTATATTCCCTTTATGTGTCTGCCCTTAGGACAATTATTTTTTTACCTGTATTGTATATATGCTTGTGTGTGTAGACACACACATAAGCTTAAATAAATAATAATTGGAAATCCTCTCCAAATAATGAAACAAATTTATAAAAATGTGATTTTACCCTCAGAGTCCATGCTTTATTAATAAAGTA